AAAACATTAGAAATGTTTTTAAGGGGGCCTGGCCCTAGCTCAGTTCTTTAAATGGCTGCTTGGACAAAGCCGTCAGGCCCAGGTTGCTGTGGTTCATCCCCACAACTCCAGCTAGCCAAACCTGCCCTGAAGGCATTTGGAGCAAAAAAAAAGAAATGTTTTTAGGGGCCAGGGACATGGCTCAGTAGAATAAGTGCTTGTGCAAGGGCCTGAGTTCAAACGCTGGTTCCACCAAAAAAAAAAAAGAAAATGTTTACAGAAAAGGGGCCAGGGAGATGGCTCAGCAGCATAATCACCTCCCTGGCAAGTGCAAGGTGTTAAGTTTAATCCTCGGTACTAACAAAAAGTGTGGGAAAGGTTTCTAAAACATACAAACACATAAGGTTGCTACTTTGCTTATTTTCACTTATCACAGGGCTGTCTGGAATATAACCTCTGTGATAAGTGAGGGATCACTTTACTCAGCCTGGAATTCAAGGTAATCTGCAGTGCTGAATCCACTGTTTTACTTCAGAAGACCTTCATGTGCTGGGCATAGGGTGCAGGCCCAGAATCCCAGCACTGAGGCTGAAGCAGGAAGACTGAGAATTTGAGGCCAGGTTGGGCTACCTGAGTGAGTGCAAAGCCTGGGGTGGTGACACAGGCCTATAATCCCAGCACTGGAGAAGCTGAGGCAAGAGGATCACCATGAATTCCAGGCCAGCATGAACTACACAGCAAGACCATGTCTCAAAGAGCCAAGAGAATCAGGTAGTGTAGCTAGGACTTGGCAGGCTGAGCAGAATGAGTGAGTGTTTCAGGCCAGTCTGATCACATAGTGAGACCTTGTTAAAACAAACACACAAAAGGCCCTACGTGGTTACAAATAAATGCCAGAAAAAAAAAAAAAAAAAAAGATAAAAATAAGTAAGGTATGGGTAGGGAGTCAGGAATATACTTACTTCAGTGGTAGTGTCTGCTTGGCATGCAAATGGCCTTGGATTCAATTTCATTCACCATAAAAAATAAAACCAAGGATATAGCTCAGTGGCACACAGCCTGCCTGGCAAGTGTAAGGTCCTGAGTTCAATTCTTTGTACTCCCCATCCCCCCCCCAAAAAAGAGAGATCTCAGACTTCCTATAGTAAATAAGTGCAAATTAGTTTTCACAATACTCAGTCACCAAGGCTGGGAAGATAGCTCAGCAGCTTAAGTGCCTACCTGGCAAGCACAAGATTCTGAGTTTGATCCCCAGTACCAAAAAAATACAAACAACAACAACAACAACAACAACAACAAAAAACCCAAAAAACTCAGTCACCAAGTATCTGAATAAGCAGTACTAGGTTCCTTGAGAACACAATAGGGTATACCACTTGCCTCACCTGTTGTGAAGGAGGCCCTTACCTAACCTAGTTCTAGTCTTGGCCTTGCTTCTTCCCCTTCTCTTTGGAGACAGGGTCTCCCTATACTACCCAGTAGTATACTACTACCCAGTACTGGGTAGTACTGGGAGATCCCATCTCCAATTCAAGATGCTCCTGTCTCAGGCTGCTAAACGCTGGATTACAGACAACTGCCACTATGCTCCACTTCTATCTTTTTAAAGACTTTTCTTTTTCTCTTTCATCTTTTTTTTCTTTTTTGAGATGGGCTCTCAAGCTGCAGTTAGTTCAAAGTGGCTTTTTAGTCGCTGGTGATCTTCCTGCCTCTGTCCCTCAAGGGCTGGGACTAGAGACGTGCACCACCACGCTGGGCGGGAAAAGACTTCTGAAAAAGGAGTCTGTCCTCCTGCATTTGCTATAAATTCTCAAAAGTACTCTGCACAGAGAACGGCTGTTCTTCGTACTTGACTATCACGTCCCCTCTGAGCAGCGGTCCATCTTGTCACCCCCTGCAGTTCCAGGACAGCGGGCGTCGGAATTATCTCCTGTCATCCCCACACAACAAGACTGTCCTTTCTATCTTTACTTTCCGTAGTCGTAGTTACTTGACAAAAATAAACTAGAGTTTATTTCCCCAAACTCCCGTTTCCAGAACCCTCCAGGCCAGACACGCCGCCCGCGCCGCGCCGCGCCGCACCGCCACGCCCCTGCGGCCCCGCGCCCCCAGGAAGAAGCGCGCCGACGACCGGTCGTGCTCACCCGCGTAGGACCAGTCCGGCAGCTCGGTGAGCGGCCCGTACCCGGAGGGGCTGGCGGCCAGGCCCTGCCTGCGGGAGGAAAGCGGCGCAGTGAGGCGGCGGCCGCCGGGACCCGCCCGCGCCCGAGCCCGCCC